AGGGGTATGTGGCCCGCATTACAGTAGTCAGCAGTTAGAGTGTATGGCCAAAATAGAAAATTTTTACCCGTTGAGATGCTGGCCTCTCTTGCCGTTTCATGATGACGCCGTTTGTGAAACGTTTTTTCATGGAGCATGAGTTCCTTCTAAGCAATTTTTCTGGAAACAGGCAGAAAACAACTTCGGTTGGTCTTGGGTTTTACTGAAATTTAAATTTACAGTTTGCTCATTATACCGTTGGCCTAAAGAAAGTGTCTCAGCAAATGGCAGCTTGTTCGGATTAATAGAACAACTCAAAAACAGATTTTGTACAAAAGGAATCCTTACTGAGAATTGTTTTGTGGCCTCAGATATAGCAGAAATTATTTCAAGCTTTAAATGGACTTATTGCACTGAAGTTTAAAAATTTTGTCATAACTGCTATGAAGGATACAACGAGATATGCAAGTTTAGGGTGTTTCCTTGTCATAGCTTTATATAACTGCAAAGTATATAATCTTATTACACTGGAGACGATGCCGGATGCCGTACCTGCTTCCACATGGACCGAATAAACCCGTGTTCACTCTTTAATCCTTTCGATACAATGTCAGATTTAATTAGATCATTCCGTCTTCCAGAAAGCCTTCCTGGCAGCCAACTGCCATTAGATTTTGCAAGGCGACTGTCATTATTTCGTTGGTAGTGATTCTACAATTTTAAAAGCCTTGTTTGCACTCAGTTGGTCATTTAGTATCTAATTATATTATAGTATTCCAATCTCTCTAGCAACAGCATTTAATATCAGTTCGTATCATTTTACCATGATATTTGTCTTCATTCCCATCGTTTCAAGTTTCCTGTTTACAGTTTTATTAAATGCTGCCATCTTCAGAGGATAGAGCGAGATGTTCAGACCATAAAATACAAAATGATGACAGAAACAATAACAAAACCGACTATCTCGATTACTTGCATATACGCTACAGAAATTTCCTGTTGATTCAGCCTCATGCCATATCCTGACAGTTCGTTTCATCGATAAGGAATGACCCTGTATATGCTTAATCCACCCAAAATCCGTACCTTTGACATTACCTTTTCGACTAGTTCCTTTCTTAATATAGTTCGAAGTCCTCGCTGGTTGGCGACCGATCATAAAATTACTATAAGAACTAGCTTTGTCAGTATGTTTAGTGCTGATTTCAAAGTTAGCTTGGCTAATGAATGACCTTTTCTTTATCTAATTATCGTCGATCTGCTAATACAGCGACGATGGGGTCAGCAGGTGTCTTGACTTCGCCTATGGCTCAGGTTGTTATTACAAGGGTGCATTATAATAAATGTAGTTTACTAAAAGGTTATGCAAAGGTACGTTGTGCATAATTACCTCTGAAATGTCCTT